AGACATTCTCCCGACACCTCTATCTTTAGATGGTAAATTACCATAACAATTGTCAAAGTAAAATTTAATGGTTTCTTCAACTGTTTGCACATGTTCAGGGACCACAAATATATCTTCACCTTTTTTCTTCTTCTTCTTTTCTTTTGTGTATGGGGTCCTAACGTGTTGTGATATCTTCGTAGCTCTTTTGCTTGAGGCCCTAATTTTCTTTGGTGGGTTCTTCTTTGTGGCTACTTTCTCTTCTTCCTTCTGCACAACATTTGTTAGGTCTTCCACAATCTTATCCACCTGCTCAATCACATCATTTGTGGCTACTTTCTCCTTGGCGTGCAAATCCTCTACTCTTTTATTTTCTACATTGTGAAACTCATCTCCAAAATCATTTCCACCACTTACTCTATCATTAAATTGAACTTCCTCCTCAACTTCCTCCTCAATGGGGACTTCCTCCTCAACTTTATTCTTTATGTGGTCTTCCTCCTCAACTTTATTCTTATGTACAACTTCCTCCTCAACTTCTTTTCCAAGGTCATCTTCATCCTCTCCTTTATCACCTCTCCTTTATCAGAATCATGTACAAAGCTCGCTCATGAATGATGTTCCTCCTCAGCTGCTCATGGCTTCAACTTACTGTTTTGTACAAATTTCTTCTTAATATTTTCCTTTAGCACCATCAGCACTTCTTCCAAAAGATTCTACTATTATGTTAAGTCTGCTAATCTCAATCATGAATGCTTTACAATATATGCCCTTCATGCGTATTGTGGCACAGAGTAATCATCTACAAAATTTAGCAGAATTTCTTCAGAACATAAGTTGCTTCTCAATGGGTAGAGCCTCCACCTCATCTTCCTTTTCAAAAGAATCGTCAATATGCTTTGCAATGATCTAAGATTTTTAAGAGATTGATAGAAATTAGGATTATACATAACATGAAAATGGTTTACAGTTAACATGAAATGAGTTAGACTTAATAGAAATAGAATTAGACTTAACATGAAACAAATTAGACTTAATATTAATTAAATTGGACTTAACATGAACTGATATTAGACTTAACAGGAACTGAAGTTAGACTTAACAGAAATTAAATTGGACTTAACATGATATTAGACTTAACAGGAACTGAAGTTAGACTCAACAGGAAATAAATTAGACTTAACATTAATTAAATTGGACTTAACATGAACTGATATAGACTTAACAAGAACTAAAGTTAGACTTAACAGGAATTAAATTTAACTTAACATGATATTAGACTTAACAAGAACTTAAGTTAGACTTAACAAGAAATAGAATTAGATTTAACAGTAATTAAATTAGACTTAACATTAATTAAATTGGACTTAACATGAATTAGAAGTAGACTTAACATGAACTGATCTGATATTAAACTTAACATGAACTAAAACCAGACTTAACATTATTCAAATTGCACTTAACATAACTGATATTTAGACTTAATATGAACTAAAATTAGACTTAACATTAATCAAATTAGAATTAACAGGATACTTACATAGCCTATTGAGTAATTCTTCTTGCTTCCTCATTTTTCGCCTTTCTCTTTGGGTGCTTCCCACTAACAAGACGTTAACGCTTATGAGACATAATTTCTTTCCTCGGTACTGGGGGTGGCAATCTGCTACTTTTGGGACTTGAGCCCTCATCAATCCTCCCATGAGGCTTCCTCGTTGGGTATTTTGACAGACAAGGCCCAACTTCCACGATAGGCTTCTCAACTAAAGTTATTGAAGCTCATTTTTCCTTTGCTGTAATTGTCCCCTTCCTCGAAGAGCCTACTTTCTCACCCTCTACTACCCAATTTGTCATTAGAAGTCTGAATCTGTCGCTATAGACATATCTCTTTATGCCAATCATCTCGTAGTACCAAAGCTGTAAAAAATACAATCACCATCCCAACAATTACAAATTGACCATATTCACCTTTAGCATTAAAACAATTAGACTTAGCATGAAATAACTTACACATAACATTAAATGATTTAGGATTAACATGAACTAAATTAGACATAACTTGAATCAAAATAGACTTAACATGGAACTTACGGGTATTAGTGGCATGCATCTAGGGATAAATGTAACCCTTGGCTTCTTCAAGCCCTCCAAAGCAACTTTAATGCCTCTAATAATTTATGTATAAATGAATTGGTCTCATGCAACTCTTTTCACCCTCTCAATGCTATCCACATACTTGAGTAATTGTCTAAAGATACCTTCCCCGCTTCTGGGGCATCATATCATCGAGTGCTGATAAAGAATTTGCAGCAAAACAAAGTCTTGGATATTCTTCTTTTCTTTTGATTCCACAAGACTTTCTAGTAGATCTTCAACATATCTTCGAAGACTAATTGGTGTTTTTCCTTTTTTT